AAAAATTTATATTTATATTTATATTTATATTTATATTTATATTTATATTTATATTTATATTTATATTTATATTTATATATATATATATATATTTTTTACATACATATATAATTTTTTATTTTTTTATATTTTTATTAAAAAATATATATATATTCATATTTTTATATCTAATACAAATTTTTATAATATATAATAACTTAAATTATTTATTATTTTAATTTTTTTTTTAATTGTTAATTTTTTTTATTTAATAGTTTTTTATAATATATATAATTCATGAATTTTTTTTTATTATTTTTTTTTTTTAAATTATAATTTAATTTACAATATAAAATATATAAAACTCATTCAAATAATGAAATAATTTCAATATAATCTTTAGTTATTAAATTTAATTCGTTTATTAAAATACCTTTTAAAGCTATTTTATAATATAATTTATCTTATTTTTAAATTTAAGATGCATTTTTATTTTGACAAGTTTTAAACTTAAAGCAGAAATTATGAATTAAAAAAATAAGTTCTTTATTCGTTTAATCTTTAAATTTATCAAAATATTTATTAAGAATCTGAAATTTCATTGATATAATATCTTTCTTTAAAAATATTTTTTTTATATAAATAAATGTTTTTTATTTTTACTTTTGATAATGTTTTTATAGCTTTTTTTAATGTCCAATAAGGCTTAATTAAATGTTAATTATTATGAAAATATGCTGCTAAATTAAGAAGCAATATCATAAAAAAGTCATTTAAAGAATTACTATCTTAATTAATATTAAGAAATTAAATTTTAAAAAATATATAAAAATACCTGATTTTAAAAAGGTTAAGTATATAACTGTAAAAAAAACTTTAAAAATAAATTATATAGAGTAAAATTAATAAAATATAATTTACTTTATTCTCAATAACATTGTCTCTGATAAATTAATCAAAAGGATGATTCGAAAAGTTAGGCTTTACATAAAAAGTTAAATTTTACACATTTTTTTCATATTAGAATCCAAAAAGAAAAATTTCTATTATTTTTTTTGATAATCCACAATTATTTTTAATGTCTTCTTCTTTTAATTTTGGGAATATTTCATCTTTGATAACTTTAAAATGTTCATTACTTTTTTTTTTATGGAAAAATAAATAAATAATTAAAAATAAAATTTACCAAAAAGGATATAATTTAGAATTGTTTTTCAAAAAAATTTAAAAAAAATAATCCAAATTCTTATTTATTTCCAAAATCTATACTTTATTGCTTTACCTAATTAAAATTTATTCCTAAGTTAATTTCTTTAAAAAATTCTAAAGAAACATTTCCAAAAGCATTTTGAAATTCCTCTTTTTTCACTTTAAAATTTCCCATTAAAAGCATAATTTCCAAAAATAGATTCATTAATCTTTTTTAACTAAAAAATCCGCAAGAACTTACTTTTAAATCAAATATAAATAAAAAATATTAAAAGAAAATTACAAATAATTATTATATCTTATATAATTTTTATATTTTCTTCCATAAATAAAAACTAAACTAAAATTCTTACAAAATCACAAGAAATTTATAAATCAGCTCTTACATATTGATACTTTTCTACATCTTCTAGACAATATTCTTAAAGAAGTTTTAATATTTAAAATTAGAAGTTAAAAGAGACATTTTTTTCTTGTTTTTTTAAAATTAATATATTCATTAAAGACATTAAAAGATCATTAAATTGTACATATTATGGTAAATCGCGATTATTTTCATTTTCTAGTAATTTATTTCTCAAAAAAGCGTTTAAATTTAAAATATTTTACATAAAAAAAGATAATTAAGTATTATTTTATAAATTTTTTGACAATTTTTTTAACAAATGAAGACTATATTTTAGTTATAAATATATATATATATATATATATATATATATATATATATATATATATATATATATATATATATATATATATATATATATATATATTACAATGTAGGTGAAAGCATTTTCGTATAAGAAAGAATATTAAAAAAATGAGAATTTAGTTATTCTTTTTCATTTAAAAATAGATTTTTTACATATTCAAATTAAGAATTTTTACTTTTTAATTATTAGAAATAATAAAAAGAATACTTTGAATTTATTGAAAGCTATTTTGATTATAAAAATATGAAAAATTCTTTTATTTTAGGTTATTTCTACTACCTTTAATTTGAAAATGTAAAAGAAAAAGGATCTAACAATGTTTAAAACAAAAATTAATCTTCGATTTAAGATTAGAATTAATGAATTAGAGCATTATTTGAAGAGATTTTAGAAAGAAATAAGTTTATTTCAAAAAAGTTTAGGGATTATTTAATAATTAAAACGATATTATTTTCTATATAATTTAATTATATAAATTAATTAAACTGTAGTGTTCATAAATATTAAATGGAGGTTTCAAAAAATAAGTCTATATGTTAAAAAAGATATATGTTTATGTTAATTTTAGAAGAATTTAAGGAATATTTTCAGTAAGAAATGATAAAAATTTCGAAAATGTTATTTTTTAGAGTTGCTCTGGCAAAATATTTTTTAATTTAGAAAATAAAAAAGGAAAAAAATATTAGAATAGGTAGATTTTTATCTTTTTTAGATTATTATTAAAATTCTTAGATTATATATGAATAAGATTTTTCAATAAAAATTTATGTCTAATCTTTATAAAGTTTATTTAGTATTTTTATTTAACAAAACTCTTCTTTTAATGAATAATTTCTTTCTTTTTTAAACAAAAAAAATTGCATAACATTATTTTAAATAAAAAATATTTTTATCTTACCTTCCTATTGTTAATTTGAAAAAAAAAGATAGTTTAATTTAGTTAAGAATATTATATATAAAATGTCTAAAGAATTTTAAGAAAATGCTTGCTTTTCTATTAATTTTTTTAAAAAATTTAGTATAAAAGAAGTTTGCTTTTAAAGTTTAAAGAGTGTTTTTGAAAATTTCTTTTATATATTTTTAAAAATAATTATTTTTTTTATTTAAAAAATTATTACTGTAAAAAAAATTAAAAATTTAAAACAATTTTTTTCATTTTAAGGTTGTAAAAATTCAAAAAAAGAATCATAAATACTTTCGTGATGTGAGTCCTAAAAAAGATTACTTTTAATTTTCTTATCTATATAAGAATTTGAATTATTTAAGTCTAAAAAACAATTAAAAATAGAATTCTCTATTTCTTTATTGTTTTAGATTAATTATTTAGAAATTAATCCAAGTATTGTTTCAAATAGCACCTTTTATATTATATTATTTTATTTATTTTATAAAATAATAAATAAATAAAAACATCTAATAATATATCATAATGTATTTTATTTGTCTTTATTGTTTTATTCAATTATTCTAGATAAGTTAAAATACTATTCTCATTTGTTTTTTAGAAAAAATTTTCTTCGGTAATTATTTTTTGCATTTATCTTTTAAATTATTTTTAATGTTAAAATTCTAAACGAGTATTATTATGAAAAATTAAATCGAAATTCTCAATTATTAATTCCTTCTACTTGTATTTTTTATCTTTTTGATTTTGTATTTATGTTTCATCGTTATTATTGTTAATACTTTAAAGCATTTTATAATAAAAAATAAAATATACTATATTTATAGAAGATATTATAATTTTTTTAAATATTTTAATTAAATATTTTCTTAGTATAAAATAAGAATATTTTTTTGTTTTGTTTATTTAATACAAATTATCAAAATTTAATTCAATTTATTTTTACACTTTTTATTTTAAAAAAATAATTAAATTTTTATGATTTATTTAATAATTTGACTTAAATAATAATATGCATAACTTAAAAAATAAACAAAGGCAAATTATAAAAAAATATATTAAACTTTTTTTTTATTTATTTCATATTTTAAAACAAATTTATTTTTTTTATTTCAAAAATCTAATAGATTGTTTTTATTAATATTATTATTATTAACATAATTAGCATTTTATTATTAATCTTAATTATCATTAAAGCTTCCAAAAAAATCTTCTTCTTCATCAACTTTTTAGGGAACCTTTAAAATAATCTTAAATAAATCATAAATTTAATATATATTTTACTTTTAATTATTGTTTCTGCTATTACTATAATTATTGTTGCTAGCACACATCATTGTTTTTTTATTCTTTGACTAATATTTATATCATTTTTATTTCATTTATAAATTTTTATTTTACATGCCCATGAAATTCTTGTTACTTTTAATATAATTCTGCCTTCATAAATAGGTAACTTTTTGCTGTTTTCAGGAACATCCATCCATGTATTTTAATTATTGATTTTATATTTAAATCTGAAAATATATTCACCCGAAAAAGGAAAATATTATTTTATATGATATAACCTCACTTCTTCTAATTTTAAAGGAACACTAAAATTATTAGAAAAAATAAAATATGATTTTTTACATAAAAACATTGGGACATTCTGAATCATCCGAATCTTAAGGAATATAATAATAAATATTAGTTAGACTTTGTTATTCCATATAAATATTTTAAAAAAAAAACAAATAAAGTAAATAATATAATATAAAAAAATAATATTTTATTGTCAAAATTAACAAAAAATTAACAAAAATAAACAAAAAAAAATATTAAAATAAGTGTATAAAGAAAAGAAAAAAAGATATTTAAATAAAATGATAAAAATAATTATATTTATTTAAGCTATTCTTTTATTCCTTTTTAAATGTTTAAACCTTTAAGAAACAAAAAATATACTAATAGAAGATGCCGTTCGAGAAGTAGATTTGACCTAAAGGTATGCCTCATCATAAACAAAGTTAAGGCTTACAAACAAGGGTGAAACTCCAATCACTCATTTTTATTATGCATTACCATTATACTAACAAGAGCAAACAATAATTGTCCTTTTAAGAAAACTAGACTAAAGTGAAATAACAGGAGTAGTAGTCGAAGATATAAATATCAGGCATTAATATAATGCTACATTAATAAGATTTGAATTGGAAAAAGCTCTGAATAAAAACGAAAAAGTATCAATTACTATAGAAGAAAAGTTTGTAAACCGATAAGAACCTTATCCTAAATAAATTACAGTTTTGGAAAATTAAAATATCCTTTTTAAAGATAATAAATACATTTTTTCACCTTATTATGTTGAATCATAAAGAACTATATATAAGGCTTAAAATATCATGTAAAAATATTTTTATATTTTTTAAAATATATAAAAAAAGATCAAACACAGAAGATGAAGCAGTAACTAAATTAAGAAAATCCGGTTTGAAATATGGAGAATATAAAAACATTTCTCCGTTTTCTGTTTCTGATATATAAATACATAGTGAAAATAATACTCCATTAATATATTTGACTAAATCATCTAAAACAATAGAAGTATGAAAAAGTTTTAAAAAAAAAATTTAAAAAAATAAAGGTTTCTCATTGGGGAAATATCGCAGTTGAAAATTCATATAATTTAGTAAATAAAGGAGCAAATTTAAAAGGAGAATTTAGCAGAGTAGATTATAATAAATACAGCTAAAATTCTGGAAAAAACGCTTTAAAATCTCTTTATGCAGAAATACCTTTTCATGCAACAGGATTATGGTATAGAGATATAATAGGAAATATATCCACATCAAATGCAATGAGAGATGTAAAAATAATAATATAAATAAATATAATTAATAAAAATAATATATAGAAAACGGACAAAGTAGTAAAACTAAATATTCAACCAAGATTTCCAATAATGGGAGGATGGAAGAATGATTTTAGGCTAGGATATAATTTAAATGCAAGCAGGTATTTATATACTGATAATGAAGGAAACTATGTTTTGAAATAACTTTTCTCAATACCTTTTCATGATCTATTAGCTTAAGAGTTCGAATTAAGAGTTGTTTTGCCTGAAGGAGCATACAATATAAAACCAGAATTACCTTTTAATGTTGATAGCTATCATTAAGAAATTACTTTTTCATATTTGGATAGCTAGGGAAGACCTACCTTAGTTTTTAGAAAGAAAAATGTTATAGATTTTCATAATTAATTCTTCTATATTCATTACTCTTTAGGAATTTTCTATATGTTTAAAAAATTTTTAATGATTTTTTGTGCATTTTTAATTTTCTTTTTTTCAATGATATTCTTAAATAGAGTTCAAATGAAAAGTTTTAAATGAAATAAAAGGAATAATTATAAAATAAATATATATTAATATTGAATAATCTGTTTATTTTTTATAATTGAATTTTATTTGCTATGTTCTTTTAATTTTATATATAAATAAAAAAAAAATATATACATATAATTAGTGATAATGTAAAATAAATTATTTTTATAAGAGTAAATAAATTATTTTTATAAGAGTAAATAAATAAACTATGAAACAAATAAAAAATTAAAAAATTTATAAATTTTTTAATATTAATATTTATTTAATAAAAAAAAAAAAAAAAAATTAAATTTTATAATTATAATAATGGATTTTCTTAATAATTTTTCAGAAAATGTCTAAATATAACTTTTCGAATATACACCCGAACAACTTCGTTTATTTTTCGAAGTACATCCTTGGTTAAAAGAGGAAAAGAATGATGAGATAATTTTAAAAAATATTTAAAATTTCTTCAAAATATGCCCATAATAAAATCAATAAATACAACATTAAATTTCTCCAGAGACTGATTTTGAGAAAGAACGCACAAAACATACACTAGAAAGGAGAAATTTATATGATAGTCAGTAAAGCTAATATTAAACTAATAAAAAAATTTCATAATAAATACCCTAATAATCAATTCATCAGCAATTACAAGAATATAGAAATAAAATGCGAATCAAACAAATAAATGATAGAAGATTTAACAATGAAATATAAACATTATAAAAGTTGGATCAAAAACAAGAAATCGAATATAAATATAAAAATGAAAACAAAAATATACAATAAAAAAAATTATTCACTTTGCAAGATATTTAGCAAAACATTAATTAAGAAAATATAGTTTTATTTGGAAAAAAGTGTCTCGAATTAACTAATAATTTTCGAGCTTCCTAAAACCTTCCACATATGGTTTGGAATGAATAACTAACCTTTATTGGTATGTAACATTCTGAGAATATGGGGGAAGAAAAAGTACCTTTTGGGCATTAAGGGTTTGAATAAAGAGTTCATTTGATTTCTTTTAATAAAAGAGGGGTTTATGAGAATGTTGCTTATTGTTCAGAAGGTTTTTAAGATATTCCTAGTGTAATTTTTTAATATAATTTTTATTTTTAATTTTATTAATTTTATTATTAATTTTTTTATTTCAGACAATTGTAAATGGATGGATTAATTCACCCGGACATAGAAAAAATTTACTTTCAAATTCGAATGTTTGTGGAATCTCTGTTTACAAGTAAAAAAATAACATTATAATTAAATCATACTAATTTCTATTTTATTTATGCTTTTTATAAAAAAGGAATAAAAAAGGATATTGGTATTTTACTTAATTATTAGCTTTAAAATGTTGAAATAGAAAAAAATAAAAATTAAAACAAATAATTAATTTCCGATATATAATTTTGTAAACAAAAAAATATATAAAAATAATATGTATGTATCATTTTTATTCTTCTTACATATTTTACTCTTCTTCAATATCATCATCACTACTTTCTTTTTCTTTTGTAAATAGATTTTTTTGTCCGTTTTAGGTACACTAAGATAAATAAGTAAATAAAAAAATATAAATAAAATACTAAATTAATATCAGGCTTATATTTCTAATCAACTCTATCACCGAATTTTTAAACAATAAATTTATCCTCAGTAATATCACAAACAAATATTTCACCTTTTGAGTTTCCACAGGCGAAAATCCAAGGAGAATCTTCGTAAAAAGATCCACAAAAAAGTTTACCCTAGAAAAAAAAAAAAATCATAAAAAAAAAAAAACTATTTAATATATATTACAGCATTAGGATTTTTTTAACAGACTAATAAAGGCTATTTATTTGAAATAGTATTGGTATCCCAAATTTTTACATAATGATCTTACAGAAGTTGTTGCTAAAAGTCCAGGAACAGCCCATGAAGCTGAAACAGAAGTAGTAGTTTTGCTATGTGCTTTGAAACGATAAATATATTCTAAATTAAATTTTCTTGCATCAATGCATGATACATACCCATCTTACGTTGCGTGAACTATTTAATTAGAGTTTATGGGATCCCATACGGCAGATTCGATAAGATCAGAAATTTTTGTACTAAGCTTTATATTTATTATATTATGTTTATTTTTAAATATTTTTTTTTAAAAAAGTACTGCATTTTCAGGGGTTCGAGCATCAAACATAAATAGTTGTTTATCATAACCACCAGTAAGTAAAATAGTTTCTTCTTTTTTATTCCATTAAACAACTTATACTTCACCTTTATGATTATTATAAGTATGCATATTTTATTAAGTGGAAAGATCCCAAATTTTCACAGTTTTATCTGCTGAACCAGAAGCAAGTATATTTCTATATTTTATTTATTTAATTTTATTTATTTAAAAATAAAAAAATACTGTCTAAAAGTACTCAAATTTAAACTCATGACACCTTCAGAATGACTACCGGTTTTAATTATTTTTTATTTTTAAACTTCTTTACTTTTTTATTACTAATTTCCATTTCTCCTCCCAAAACAAAATCAGGTTCGATTACATTTAACACATCTAAATTCCATATTTCAATTTCAGGCAAAAAGCTACCTACAATCGCATAATTTCCTTTTTTTTATTTTTTTAAAACATCATTTATTTTCTATTACCTTATATTTATGTTTATTGTTCAAATGATGAAGGAGCTACTCTTAACCATTCCAAAGATAATGGAAACGCGGAAAGTTATATTTCATGATGAACGAAAAGATTATTTTTATCTTCTTCATATACATATATTTCTAAACTAGAAAATTCTTTTTCCTTTTATATTTTTACGATTTTTCGGTTTTTGTTTATTTATTTTTACTATTTTTGCAGCTACTATTAAAGCATCTGTAGGTCTTATATTAAAATCTTCTTTTTCTTCGTCAGACATTTCATCAAAAGCCTTATTTTTATTTTATTTTATTTAATAGTATATTTTTTTTTTTACTATAGGATCTCCATTCTAATCTATATTATCATCATATTTAAGCATATTTATATCTTATGTAAATACAGGAAGGTCTTTTAATTTAATTTTAAAATAAGATTGTTATTTTTTTATTTTTATTTCTTACTTTCTTCTTCTTCGTCGCTTATATTCTCATCCTCTTATCCTAGTTCTTTTTTTAAGCTTTTATAATGATTAAAAAAATATTTAAACCAAGTCAAAATATATTAATTTTTAATAAACAAAATTACTTTTTTAAACTAAAGGGTCATTTTTCATTTGCTTTATCTGTTCTTCATTTAATTCAAACTCTTTTGGATTCTTTTTTGCGAAACCTTTTTTAATCCAAATTAAAGAACTGACAACGTTTTAGTCCATATTTCAATTTATTTATTTTATTTTATAATTAAATTATATATATTAATTTATTTTTATACTTTAATTTGCACTAAAATAAAATAATAAAAACTAAAAATAAATAAATACGCAAAAAATATTTTTTAAATAATATTCATGCACATTTTATTTAACTTTTTAGTCTTCAATTCTTTAATTTATTTTTAAGTTTTATTATATATATATATAATTAGTCTATATAAAATGCTACATTTTTATAATCTTTATAAGCTTAAAACAAAATTAAAATATTAAATTGAAGAAAAAATTTCATCCGTTTTTATTAAAAAATAAATCAATAAATTAATATAATAGTAATTTAAAACGATTATTATGTAATTTATTTTAAACTAATTTAAATTATATTGACTTTTAGAAGGAACATCTTATTTAATATAGTTTCTTTTTTATGAAAAAAAATATTTTATTTTTTCTAAAATTTATTATAGTTTATACGTTTTATATTAATCATAATTTTATATGGAAAAACTTTTTTAAAAAAAGAAATTTATTTATAAAGTTTAATGATTTTTAAGGAAGTAATTTATTAAATTTTAAAAACTAAACCATAAAGAATTTATTTAATCAAGTATTTATAAAAAAATATACCAATTATTTTTATTAAAATATTACTTAATATTTATATGAAATATTTATATAAACTTTTTTTAAATATTTTAAATGAAAAATATAATAAAAATAAAAATATATATATATATATATTGTCATAAACTAAAGTGTTTCAAATCTAATTAACTTAATTTTGAATGCATTTATAAAATAATTTAAATTATTATTTATAAAGTATATTTCATAAAAAAAAATTATTAACTTTTTATATATATTATAATAAAAATAAAATATATAAAATTGAAAATATTAAAAAGAAAAAAAATAATAAATAAAAGAATTATAAAAATTAAAACATAAAAAGTAAGAAAATAAAAATAATTAAATAAAAAAATAGTATTATAAAAAATAAATATAGAAAGCAAATATGATCAAGTAATTAATTCGCTCATTAGCTAAGTAAACAAAATAAATCTGCTTATATCCTAATAATTCATTCCACTTATAAAAAATAGCATTTGCGTTTTCCCAAAAATCTCCTAGTGATTATTAACCATCAAATAAATTATATATGTAATAATGGGAAATGGAGCAAAGAGAATACGTTGAATTATCACAAGCAATTTTGTCTTGTTATTCTTGTAAGATGCTAGGAGAAATATTAAGAGACAATTTACATATATTGACTGACTTGTAATTATCTCTGAGCATGTTTTAATTATGGAATCATAAAATTGAAGTTGATTAGCATTTTTACAATACTCTTAGTCCTATTTTGAAAGAATTCATTAAAAGATTTGATAGAGAATGTAATAAATCTTTAGGTAATATTACTAATTATTTAGGACAAATGAATGTATAAGATGATGAACTTTGGAAAGTTATTGAAGATAAACTTGTTAAAGAAAGATTTTATAGATATTTACCTCTAGAAATTCTTATTGAAGCAGCTCATGGCATGGCTTGTGCTTAAAGAGGATCCAAATAATTCTTTGATATTGTTGAAAATGTGGCTATTAAGCATAGATTAAGATTAAACAGTTATCATGTTAAACTTCTTCATGATACATATCAAAGAATTCAATAAGGATCTAATTTATTCTTTGAAGTACTTAAGAACCCATAAGCTGATGCAAATGAAATTGCTGGATTAGAATAACATGAATAGCTTAAAATTTCAGGTTGATCTTCGGAAGAAAGCTTTTTAAACATAAATATTATTAATATTATATATATATTTACATGAAATAAATTATTCTCTTAAATATATATATATATATATATATTTTTTTAATGATTTTTATTAGAAACTAAAAATATATAATTAATATTTTTAAATTAAAAATATTTGTAATTTTATAAATAAAACTATTTAAAAAAAAAATGTTGAAAACAAACAAAGTATAATTTGATGATTTTGATTTGCCACAAATAGCATATACGTTTGTTTTAATATAAAAGGAAAAAATTATATAAGTTTTTTAAAAAGATTTAATAAATCAGACGGTGCTAAATATTTTGAGAAAGGAGGATAAACAATTCCAATAGAATATTTAAATGCGGAAACTACCACAAAAAAGTAAGGGAGAACAGTTAAAGTAAAGTTAATTTAGAAAAAAATAAAAAATTAAAAAATTAAAAAGTTACAAGTTAGTGAAGATGTGATTATAAATTCATAAAAACCATAAGATGATCAATAAAATTAAACTAAATTCAATGAATAAGATTTATAAACTTTTTTATAAAAAGTATATCCATTAATAGAAAATGCATTAACAACTTCAATAAAGTCTTTAGAATGTAAAAAAAGAAAAAAAAAAAAATTCTAAAAATAAATAAAAAAAAGACTATGCTCCAAAATGGACAGATTAAAGAAAAGAAATAACCACCTTATACACGTTATCAAATTCATTAAACTCATAATATGAAAAGGATACATAATTAGAAATAACAGACATAAGTTGGAATTGTACAGGTTTAATGTTGGCAGCTGCATATGGTAAATTCGAACATTTAGGATCTTCTAATGAAAGAGCTTTTTGTTGCGTATGGAATTTGTCAAAACGAGATTTTTAACAAGACAAGCCATTAATAACAATAGAAACTGAGGTAAACAAAAAATTGCAAATAAATTAAAAAGAAAAATAAAAGTGCTCTTTAACTGCTGTAGAATTTCATCCTTCTAAACCATCATGGTTAATAGGTGGTTCTTTTAATGGTTTAATATTTAAATTTTAAAATTGTAAAAAAATAAAATATATAAAAAAAGGTGAAATTTTTTTTTGGGATTTATCAAATGAAGAAGAAAGTTTAATTGCAAAATCTTCAATAGATGATTATTTTCATAGAGAAGCAATTACCTAGTTGATATGGTTAGAAAACAAAAAAGCAGGTTCTATGCAAATAAGTTACGTAAAAAGATAATAAATAATTAAAAGTATTATTTTTCTTTGAAAAAAAAAAGAGTCTACTTTCATTAAGTACAGATGGCAAAATTTTATTATGGGATAAATTAGAAGAAAATGTGAACTAAAATCCTTTATAATATCCAACAAAGGGTTATTTTTTAGTTCGAAAAAAGATGGTGCAGTTGTAAGTGTAGGTGGCTTATGTTTTGCACAGTCAAATGAAGATAAGAATACATTCGTGATCGGTTCTGAGGCTGGCTCCGTATTAAGAGGAGTAATAACAGGTTCAACTATGGATTCTAAGAATAAAAATATATTAGAATAGCAATAGGGGAACACGAAAATAACTTGGAAATAAAATACAAATAATTTTATGATGAATATATTCAACAAATATATTTTAGATATAAAAATGCATGTCGAAAAATACTGTTTAAATAAAGGACTAAAAGAAGTTGATTGTGAAAATATTTTCTCTTCTAAACCTGATATTCGTAAAACGTATATTAATCCTGTAGCTTTTGCTTTTGAACCTCATATAGGTCCTGTTTATTCTATTTAATTTTCACCTTTTATTAGGAATTTATTTATTACAGCTTCTTTAGATGGTGCTGTTAAATTATTTGATCTTTTATACGTAAATATTTTTTAAAAAATAATAAATATTTTATTAGGCTAAACCTCTTTTTAATGTTGATAATTTTGGTAATTATATTTTTAAATCATAATGGTCACCTACAAGGGCATCAGTTTTTGGAACAGCACTTTCAAATGGAGAAGTTCATTTTTACGATTTATTGGAAAATAAAAAAGCACCCGTTTATATTATTGATGGTAAAGACATGGAGTAAGGAAGTTAAGCAATTAACATTAAGTTTAATTTTAAATAAAACGATTTAGTAGCTGTTACATACACTAAATGCAAAATAAAAATTTATTAATTGTGCGATTATTTAGTTTAACCGAAAAAGGATGAACTTTAAAAGTTTTAGCAATTAATTGATGAATTTAAAAATTAATGAAATAATAAAATATTTATATATATTTATATTTAAATGTAAATTTTATTTATTAAATATATAATAAATCTCATCATTTGTTTTATTTTAACTATTTAAGTAATTTTGAAGCATCTGTTTGATTTTCCTGTTTAGTTATATAAAAGAATTATAAAAAAAATATTTATTTAATTTACTTATTTAATATCATCCAAATTAATAGTTTGATAACACATAGGGCATACATTTTCATTAATAGATAGATATTTTTTAAACATTTAAATATTCGCTGGCATTTTACAAGAAGGACAAAAACATAATTAATTAGCAATAATATGTCTTTTAAAAAATTAAAAAGTATATAAATAAAAATAAATTTAATTTTTTTAATATACTATCCTGTAGCAACACAATAAGGAATAGAATTTTAACAACTATTACATACAAGACTATATTCATCAACAAGTTCTTTACAAAAAGGACATTCCGTTTTATTTTCAACAACTTCTTCTTTTAATGGTTTTCTTGCAATATTTTCTATTTTCATTTTGTATTTTTCATTAATACTTTATCTATATTCCGGTCTTACAAGCTCAATAGACCATCTATATGCTAAAGGCTTATTTTTACATTTCATAGCCGCAATAACTGCTGTAGTAAGAATATTGACAGTATGAGTTGTTGAAAACTAACTTATATTTTTACAGACACGATTAAGTAAAAAGGCAGCGATTTCACTTTCTTTTTCATCATCTTTAGATTTTATATATTTTGAAGCCAATAAATAAGAATGTATAATCATTAACTTTTATTCTAAATCGAATGGAACAGGTACATTATGCTCTTTTACTTTTTATAATGTTTCGAAAAGTCTATCATGAGCTGCTTTATAATTGCCTTAATCATGATCATCTGTAGCTATCGTTATTGCAATTTTTACCAAAGCATTTATATTTCCAATTCTATCATAATATTTTAATAAATAAATTGGATCTTTAGGTTATCCGTCTACTTCTCCTAATAAATAATCTAAAAGAGTAGAATTTAAAGTTTCTTAACTCTTATTTCGGTAAACTAATTCTATCATCTCATCTATATGCATATCCCCTGCTTTGAAATATAACTTTAATGATTTCATTGGATTTTTTGTTTATTCATAATGTTATGCTGCTTTTAGCCAAATTCTTTTTTTTTAATTTTTTTTAATTTTTTTAATTTTTTTAACGCTTAATTTTCGTAAAATTGTGCAATTCTTAATCGTTCTTCGAGTGTAAATTCTTTCATGTTATCTGCATATGAGTCCATTACATTATATTATTGAGCTTTTAAAAATGCTTCTTCTTTTTTTCCTGCTAAAATCATGAACTCTACATGCTCATCCTAGATTTATTTTATTTATTTAAAAAAATTGTATTTTTTACATAATTTCCTTATTTTTCACAAACATTAGCAACCATTTAACAAACAGTACTAGTAGAACATTTGTTTCTTAAAACGGCTTTAGCTTTTCCTAAATTATCTAACTTGTCTAGATTTAAACGGATTACATCCTCCCAAGATTCTGCTTATTCATAAGCTTATTCGGCTTCATTGTAAGCTCCTGGATTATAAATTTAATTTAAATTAATTTATTTTTTTAAAAAAACCTTCAGATTCTTTAGATTTTGCATATTACTTTAACAATACTGGAGATTTTATTTAACTCATTAAAGGAGTTGCTAATTTGAATTATTTTGACTAGATATAAAGAGATGCTGCTTTTTCTAAAAGTCCAGACTTTTAGTAAAGTTCTGCAGCTTCAATATATTATTTCATATTTTCGCATACAACAGCGATTTCAATAATAATCTAAATAAAAAATGTAAAAAGAAAAAATATAAATATATTAATATACATTATTATCTGTTAATTCTCTCGCAATATTAACTCCTCTTGGAATATCTCCTAATTTAATCGAAGTTCTAGAAATACCAGCAAAACATTATTAAGTATGAGCTTCAATTTTAACCTTTTCATGAACAAGTAAACTTTCTTTATTAATTAAATTAGCTCTTTCATACAATTTTCTAGCCTCTTAGGCATTACCTTGATTCTCAATTTAAAAGGCTAATTTTCTACAGATGAAAGGCTCTTCTTAAGGTGCAATATTTTTAGCCAAATTTAAAGCTGCCAAATAATCTTAAATGTCTGATCTCATTTCAAGTGCAAAAATTGGTTAAGAGCTTTTCAAATAAAGTTCTTAAGCAAGATCATACATACCCAAAACCATTGCGACATTTCCAAAAATTATATTTTTTTCATTTACATGTAAAAAACTTTATATAGTCATTACCATAGATAAATTTCCAGCCAACTAAAAAGCTTTAAGAGCAACTTTTAAATCTACAAATTCTAATGCCCTTCTACCCAATTCATTATATAATGTTATATTATCAAGAATGCATGCAGCCAACAAACAGTTGTTGTATTTATGTAGTTATAGGTTTTGTAAAAAATACCTGTACTGACCTTATTCAGTGTCTTCAGCACCTTTATAATTATTTAAATAGCTGTGAGATGTCAAACTTTAACCAGCTATTGTCCCGTTAGCAGTGAAACATTTTAAATATCCATTAGTTAAAGCAATTGGTTTTATACCTCTTTCAAGAATAGTAAGAACTGGTTGACCAGGTTATTTAATTTCTTTATTAATTTTATTTTAATTATAAAAAAATAAAATATATTTTTATAAAAATATAATATATTTTTTATAATATAAAATATAATAATATACATTCTATGGCTAGAAGTTCTTATACAGGTTAAATTATAGTACCGTTAATACTATTTTTATTTATAATAAATGTCAATAATTTATCATTTTCAACTGTAACAAAAAGATTAGGATCTTTTTAATCCCAAATAATCTATAATATTTTTTATTTTTTTTATTATTTTTTAAAAAAAGTACTCTTTCTGTTCTCTAAGGAAAATTTTGCAAAGGAAGAAATTATTCCGAAGCAGTTTCAAAAACAAAGGCCAATCCTTTATTATCTATACAAACAATTCTTGTCCCTGAAAAATTAGGATATATTCTAATAATAAGTATTTCTAATCCAGTGTTTGGTAAATATTCAATAATAAATTATTAATCTTCCAAATGAAAATATCTAATTTTTCCTTACTAATCTAAAAGAATCAGAAAATCTTTAGTTAATCCAATATTAACAATTAACTTTTCATTATCTGATTATGGAAATTTTCTTTTAAAAAAAAATTAAAAATAAAAAAATTATTTTGAAAAATATATACATATCTTTAATTTAATTAGAATGAACAATTGGATGTAGAATACATTTTCCATCTGATAGAACTGCTGCCCAAAAATCATTAAGTTTAACATCTCTAACGTTACCCATATAATCTCTTTTTTATACTAATTCACCTCCTTTAATGATTGCATTCCTTTTCTAATCTAACCATAAATAATACCAAATTATATTATTGATTCCTGCCGCTAAATGATATAATCCTAAAGACAAAAAAGCCGGTTCGTTTTCTAAATTAATTGCAGTTAAAGTATTAGTTTAACTAATTTTCGAAGATTCTATTATTGCAACTTCTACAAAAGAAGTTAAAACAGCTACAACAGGCCCATATATGCTTGTTAATTAAGGAATACTAGTCAAATATCCATAAATATGACCATTTGATGTTGAAATAACTAAAAGTTATCCATTTCCAGCCCATTCCATTTTTGTAACTGTTCCAGCGTTCTTTGGAAGTTCAATTCTTTATTAAACAATTTCGTCCCAACTTCCTAAATTATATATATGTATTTAGTTTTCCCCTGCTGCAGCTAATTTATAAACTAAATTATTAGTACACATTGCATCTAAAGAACTCTAAAAAATTCTTTTTGATTATATTTCATCTCTAAGTTCTTAATTATGAGTAGAAATATGGGAAACATAACCTTCAGTAAAGGCTACTACAATATATCCGTCTCCAAAAAGTTAATAATCAACCATTTTTCCATATTTGGCCTCAAAAACTAGTTCCAAAGGAGTTTTATTTGAACTTACATCAAACATTAGTAAACTTTTATAATTTAGGGATGCTGTTATTGTTTTATTTGAAATTTCTCGTTCATCCAATTTAGGCTTAGCCCATTTTACGTTTCTTGGCTCCATTTTCACGCCTACAGAATCAAATTTTGTATCGGAATTATGATTACTTACTGTAAGCACTTTTTCCTCACTTCCAGTAACTAATATATTAATATATTAAAATTAATTTGCTTTTTAATAAAATATTTACCTAAAAGACCTTCTTCGTTCCAATCTCCAGTTGTTATTTTTTTTGAATGTTTACCCATTGTAGGAATTTTTTTTTGTGTTTTTTTATTATAAAAATGAAGAATTCCTTTTTCAGTTCCTATTGCTAATACAGGATGAGTTCGGCTCCATTTTATGAAAGAACATTTACTTTTTTCATCTAAATCTAGTTATTAAAGATTATTTGCAAAAACATTCCATAAAAATATATATGCGCAGCCTTCAATTAATATTGCTAAGTATTCTTGGTCTCTATCCCAATTCAAAGCTAGTACTTTACCTTTTACTTATAATTGTGTTTCTTTTAGTCTTTTTCCTCGCCTTTTTATTTATTATTTTTAACTTTATTTTTTTTTTACTTATCTAATACATATAATAAACGTGACTCTCCACAGACTGCTAAAAAACTGGAATCTTAACTCCATGCGAAAACGCATTTACCTTATCCATTAATATCTTCTTTGTATTCAAATATCTATTAATTTTTTTTTTATAAAATTATTATTTATTAAAATATTTTTTTTTTTTTATAATTATTATAATCGCCATTTATTTTTTTAAAACATATTCATTTAATTTTATTACTTTTTTACTAGATTACATCCTTTTTATTTCTTTGTTTATGTTTTTTCTTATTTTGTTATTATATATTTTTGAAATTTTATTTTTAAATTAAAAATTATAAAGAAATTTTATTTTATTAAAATAATATTTATACAAATGTTTAGATATTTTAAAAATGAAACATATAAATCTTAACAAAAAATAATTTAAAAAAACTAAAAAAATATCATGATAAAATAAAAAAAATATTATTTATAATAATAAGGAAATGAAATTAAAAATTTAAAATATATAATTTAATAAAATTACATTATTTTTTAATACAAGTTTTCATTAATTAAAAAAAATTATTTAAATTCAATAAATATTTTTTCCTTTTGTTTGTTAAATTTAATTAAAAAAATAATCTTAGAAATTCATGCAAATATAAAAGAAATGATTGAAAATCAGGTATTTGTTAATTTTTTAAAAATAATAAATAAATAAAATAATAAATTATGAATTTATAAACAATTTTTTTAAAGGAATTATTATAACAAATAGAATTATCAAAATAATATATATATTTAATAATCTATTATTTTTATAGTTCAAATAAAATCATTTATTTTTTATTTATTGAATATTTTTATAGCATTATAGAATGGTATTTTTTTATATTTTCTTTTAATATTTTTTGATAATTAAAATTTAATTTTTTTTCTTGCATTTTGGTTTTATATTTAAAAAAAAAAAAAATCTTAAAAATTAAGATTTTATTAAAAAAAATGATAGTGCCAAAAAAAATGTTTATATTCCAAGTTTTTAAATCAATTTTATTATAAATTTATATTGTGAACTCATGTGCTTATATTTACTAATTAAAAATATTCATTTGAATATCCTTACTTATAAACTTTGTAACAAAGGAGTAAACTTGCTTTTTCATTATATTTCAATATCTTAATGAATTTGATATATCTTTTAAAAAGAATTTGTATTATTAAGTTATTAACATTTTGAGCAGTTACTATTATAGAACTTTGTTTCGGTAAATCTGTAAATAAGTTTAGTGTAATTTCTTACAGTACTTTAATTTTTTTTTTAAGCTTACATGTATTTTTGTGTTGTTAAAATCTATTATCTTTCATTTAAATAAATTTTATATATAAATTAAATATCGTTGGATTATTAACCATAAATTAAATAGAATAATTAAAATTTTGGGATTAAATTAAGTATAATAAAATTAGGAAATAAGGGCACTTTTTCCTAAGATTATCCTTAAAAGCTTCTTAAAGATTAATTTATATAAATTTGATAATTTAATAATATTATTACAAAAAAAAGTATTCAGCTGCTCACTATGTAAAAGCAGGATAAAATTTAAAAATAAAAATATTAAATATCAATATTATTATTATGTCCCTGCAAATATGTATTTAGAATACCCCTAATTTTGCAGTAAAAAACATATATAGATAAAAATATTTTTCTCTAGTTTTTTATATAATAAAAAAAATACATTACTTTTTTAATTTAATTAGAAATAATAATATTTACATTCTATCATAATAATTAGATCTGCTAATAAAGCATAATTTAATTTTTTTATATGTATCAATTTTAAAATATTTTAAAAAACATATTTGATAAAGGTATATAATTTATAAACTTATATTGGCATAGGAACTTTGCATTAATTTTAGTTAATACTTGGTTTTGCATTTAGCAAGGTAATATCAATCCTATCGGTTGTACACATCAGAATTTAAATTATGAAAAAGTAGTAAAATAAAGATTAATAACTGACTTTTTCCTTAACTTTCAAGCATATTAAAGTGAAGGATATATAAATTCTACTATATTGGTATTCTATACGTCATACTAAATGTTTAGTGATTAAGAATTATATCATCAAAAGTTTGATGCTACCCTTTAATAAATATAATTTATTTTAATTTGAATAAAATTATTTTTTATTAATTAATTATTTTTATTAATATTTTATCTAAAAAATACAAAATAAAATTAAATATTTATTCTGAATTTAAAAAGAGTGAACAAAATAAATAAGAAAAATCTCTATAACAACAACAAAAATTTTTCAGAATGACATCAGAAAGTTTAAAAAAGCTAGAAATATATATTCTGGAGTCATTAAAATTTCAAAATTATGGACCAAAACTCGATAACTAATAATACTAATAATATTTTTATTTTGTATATTAATAATAATATTAAAGCATATTAATTTTTTTATTTATTTATTTAATATAAATAAATTCTTCATTTTTAAATATAATTTTAAAATATATTTTATTCATTTTTATTTTAAGAAAAGTTTAAATATATTTATAATGTATATATATATTTAACTATCAAATCATTTATACATGAAAAAAAAAGATTGTTAATATTTATTAAAATATCGAATATAATTAATATATTAAAACATTCTAATTATTTAATTTATTCTAAATGAAAACTAAATTAATCAATTTATCTTAAGATAAGTATACTAAAAAAAAAGGAAGATGAGAAACTTTTTTTCCGTTTATCTAATTCCAAAAATAGACCTTTATTAATAAGAATATCTTAAAGGTAAACAAAATAGTGAAATTTTATTTATTTAGATAAGGGTTTGAGTGAATTCTTATTATGAGTAGAACCTCACTTTGAAAAGGCTTAAAATTTTGATTTGAAAGAATTTTATTAATTAAAATATTATATATGTTGCTTTTTATTTATTTAAAAAAAAGTTGTGAAAGTTAAAAGGAATTAAAATATAAGAAGTCATTAATTGATGATTAATTAAAAGCATTTAAATTGTATAAATAATTGTATTTGACTAGAAATTATATCTATATTTAACTTTTTAATTGGTATTATTTAATATACATTTTCGTAAAAAGAATTTTTATTTAATTTTTTTTTTTTTGTAAAGCATATAATTTATTAGATTTTTTTATGATTTTTTTTTTTTTTTTTTTGAATGGTAAATCAAAGAGATTTTTTTAATAAAATTTTTTAAATAAAAAAAAATATTGAATTTTAATTGAAAATAAATATTACCACAAAATTTTAGATTAAAATAAAATAAAACTTTTAGCAAGAAGAAATTTCTTAAATAAAGAAATAAATTTGCGATATTTAATTAAATTACTTAAAATAAACAATATTTTTCACAATTTTTATTATATGTATATTTTCTTGTATCAATAAAAAAAAAAAAATATTTAGAATTTATTATGCTTATAATATATATAAACCATATTTTTAATAATTTTTATCAAAAATATTAAAAAAAATTAAAAATTCATAAAAGAAAGTTATGAGCTTTAATTGCTAATCATGCAAAATAATTGAAGCGAAAATACAAGAAAAGTAAAAAAAATTATATAAAAAAGCTTACAAATTTTAAAAAAGTTAAAAAAATGTAATTCAATCGAAAAAATTAAATGATCAATTACATAAGCAATTATAATAAATAATTGAAAATGCAAATAATCTAATAAAAGGTTTAAAATTTTAAAAACCAAAAACTTAAGAAACTAAAGAATTTTCAGAACGTATACATATAATAAAAGAAAATATAAAAATAAAAAAATAGAATGCTTAGATAAGGAAATACATAATGCAATGGATTAATTATAATTCTATACAAATTAATTGAAATAAAAAAATTCTGAATAAGATTAATTCACGATATAAAAGTAATTTTTTTTAAAAAAATGTATTATAAAAATTAAAAGCTTATAAGAAAAAAAATAAATACTAAAAAATCTAAATGAAAACATTGAAAATGAAAAACAGAAAAAACAAAAATTAGTTTAGTAATGTCGAAAAGAGGATAATATTGATCTACAAAAAAAAAATATTTAAATAATAAACTAATTAAGGGTAGAATAAGCATTAATATAGGAATAAATAATACTTTAAGAGTAAGGGTTATAAAAAAGAAAATAAGATAAAGACAAAATGTAATAAAAAATATAAAAAGTGTAATAAAAATATGAAGAATTATGTAAACTAAATAATATTTAACCTTAAATCTTCGAGGGTCAAGATAACATCGAAAAGATGAAATAAATTAAAAAATCTGAATCATAAGTAATTGAAAAAAAAGAAAAAGAATAATAATTATAAAATTATAAATAAAAGGAAATAACATATGAAAACATTTTAAAATAAAAGAAGAAATAAGAAATTCTAGAAAATATAATATGTCAATAAAAAGAATAGCATGAATTAAAATTAAAGGATTTAATAATGAGCAATTAGTTAGTTTCAGAAAATGATAATTTAAAAAAGCAAATTGAATAATATAATTAAGTATATTTTTTTTTAAAAAATAAAATTAATAAAAAAAAGGATTAAAATATTACAAACAATTTTTTATAAGAATTATTAAATTCTAATTCAAAAAATATAAATAGTCCTTCTATTTATTAAACCTATTATGTAATTTTTTTATTTTTAATTTATTAAAAAATATGTAAAGAATGATGATGATAATTAAAATATTAAACATGAGCATTAAGGAATATAGTTAAAATCTTCTTAGGCTTTAATTTTTAAAGATGGAGATGATCTTCCTTCCTAAAAGAATTATTTTATGAAAAGGATACGTTTTTTTTGTAATGATACTTCAATTTTTTCTATAGATACAACTTATTAATTAAGTGATGGATCTTTAAAAGTCTTAAAACATTAAGATGAAGATTTTTAAGAAGATACATCTTTAAAATTAATTGACATTTAATTTAAAGATGGCGAATATATAAAATTTTTGTAAGGATATATGGATAAAAGCCATATATGTTATATTCATATAAGAACAAATTAATTTTAAGATTTTTATATAGGAAATAAATAAAGAGTATTGCTCCTTTAGAAATTTTAATTTTCAATATTACCGAATTTTAAGGTAATAAATATTTTTGGTGCTTTTGATTTTATAAAGAAAGGAGAAAAAAAATAACTTATAGAAATCGGAATAGAAATGATGAAAATTTTTGAAGGAGAAAATAAGAAAAAAATAAAAGAAAATTAAATATCATTAGAAAAAAATAATAGTTTAAAAGTTTTAACTGAATGATTTTTTTATTTTATTTAAATAATCATTTTATTTTTGGTTAATTTTTTTTATTTATTTCATTTAAGTTACTTGTTACTTTTTTGTTATGAAGTTACTATTGTAATAATTTCAATTTAAATATATATACATACAATATTTTTTAATTTATATAAATAAATAGTATTTTACATTATTATATATACTATTAAAAATAAAAATCTTACACGTTTATATTTTTTTTTTTAACTCAATTAAATAAACAAACAAAAATTAATTAATTATTCATTTTCTCTTGCCTTTTTTTTTGTCAATTGGCTTTTCAAAATTATAGAAAAAAAATAAATTCAATTATGTGAAACAAAATTTTAAAATAGTTATAATAGAAATAACTATTATTATTTTTGGTATTAATAAAATAATAAAATTTATATTAAATTATTATTCAAATAAAATAATTCTTAATTTTAATATTATTATAGTCGTATTAAATTAAATTTAAATTATAATTTATTTTTCAAATACTTAAACACTTAAACTTGTTTAGTAAAATTATTCTATAATACTATTTAATTTAGTTATATAATTTTTTTTATTAATTAATATTTAACTTAAAATATATTAAATTGTACTAAAAATATATATTGCTTTTAATTAATTAAATCATATTTTATTCTAAAAAACAAAATATTTATAAGTAAAAAATTGATTTAATTATAAAAACAGAAAACAAATATTTATTAAATTAATCATAATTTATTCTAAAAATAAAATAAATTTTTCATCATTGTAAAAAAAATATTATTAAGATTAATAATATATTAAATAAAAATATCTTAAAAATCATAAATGGCTATTCTAAAATACATTGCTTTGACTTCCACTACTGGAATTCTACCTGTTCTATCTCATTTTGTAGTACCAATACCATAATTCTTATATGGGATATTAGGATTAATAGCAGTTGGAATATCAGTATTCTTATGGGCATAATCGCGTTGGGAATCAGCTTAACCAAATGAATGGTTACTTTTAATTGAAAACGGATAATTAAAGAAAGCTGGAATTGGTTTGTAGTGTTTTAGGGGATTAACATAATCAGTAGTAAAAATGAAGAGTGCTATACATAAAGTTAATTTTGATGCAAATCATGTATCTAAGGAAATGTAAGGAATAACTGTAAGAGGAATGACAATATGGGAAGTAGACCCTGAAAAAGATGGTCCTTTTGACTGCTATAAATATACATAAGACGGAAAAGCTGATGATAATGTAAAAACAATGTGTGAAAGTATATTAAGAAGTGCCTTAGCAAACTTAGAATTAAAAAAAATAATGACTTCAAGGGATGATTTAATAAACTATATGAAGAAAGATCTCTAGAAATAACTTAGCAAATGGGGTATAAGATGCTAAACTATAGAAATTACAGAAATAAGAGTATGTTCTAAAAGTGTATTCGAAGATATGTAGGCAGAATTTAGATAAGAAAATAGACTTAAATCAACTTAAATAAAACTTGAAACTTAAGAAAAAATGACCTTAAATAATGTCCAGGCTGATATTAAAAATAACAAAAATTATTATGATGGATTATTATAAAGAGAAACTGAGTCTAAAAAGTAAGAGTTCAATAGAAAAAAATAAGAACTAAATATTTTCGAAAAAAACGTTGAAATCCTTAAAAGTAAAAGTAATGCTGAGAAAGAAATCGAAATGAAATAAATAGAGGAAAATCATAAGATACAGTTACAAGAAATCAAAAATGAAAATGAATAGAAATTACTTAAAGCTAAAGAAAGAATCGAATAATAAAAGAAACAATTAGAAATCGAGAAAGAAATGAATGAAACTAACTTTCAAAAATATTAAATCGACTCAAATAAAAGAATCATTTAACACATTGGTATTAAAGGCTTTAAATTTCATAATTATGTTGATGCTTCAAAAAGTAATGATATGTCTAGCTACTTACCAGCTTTTGATAATTTAAAATTTGTTTGAAATAAAAAAGTTTTTTTTATATTAAAATAAAAATAATATATATTTTTTAATTAAAATTATGCTTTTCTATATTTTTTTTTTTAAAAGTTTCATATTAAAAATAAGAAAAAGTATTTAAAATTATAACTATTTATATATTGTATATATTTAATTTAAAGCAAATAAATATGGCTTACTAAATGTAAAAAAAATAATTGACTAATGATAATTTTAAACATTTAACATAAAAAAATGATTATAATCCTTAACCACAAATGAAAGTAAAAATATTTTTTATGAAAAAATTAACAAATTTAAAAAGCTTAAACCAATTTGGGATGAGAGATTTTTTTTATGCAAGATTCCATAATATTAATATTTTAAGGACAAATATAATGGAAGTAATTAAAACATTTTTTTTTTTTCTAAGAAACTTAATTATAAAAGAGCTTATATTAAATAATTAACATGAGAGCTCAAATCAAAACTAATAAAATATTTAACCAAACATAATATTTGAGCCAGGTGGAAAAATTCGGAAAATAAAATTTGAATAAAGCATATCGTAAAACCCACATAATCGAACATTCTCTAAGTTCATATCAAGTAAAATAATTTAAAAAAAAAAAAAAAAAATTAAAAATGTAAAAGAAAAAGAAACAGAAGAAAATAAGTATTCAAATAATCCTTTAGTTTAACATTATATAAATATGCAAGAAAAACCATTAATTTACGATTTAGATAATAACCCGAAAATAGTAGAAGGTTATATATAATAATTATAAAAAGATATAAACTAATAATGGGAAATCAAAAATATTCCTCATTTTCATAGAAAATATTTTTCTGAAAGTATTAAAGGACTTCCAAATATATAAATTGTTTAAAATGTATATAAAGAATTAAAAGCCTTAAATAAAGATCGTTCGTAAATATAAATATGTATTAAAGTAATATAGGCGAGAGAATTATGTTTAGAAAATTTAAAATAATAAATAGAGTAACTTAAAGGGCATTAAGATGAAGAGAAGAATAATATTCTATAGTAAATATCTTAAATAATAAATGATTTAAGAATTTTATCATTAGAAGTTGTGGAATAAATTTTAAGATGGAGGGAAATGATTCTCCACAACCACTACAAAAAGAATAATTTATAAAACTTATAATTACCTTTTTATTATAATGATAGAAACTATCTTTTAAAAATGAGAGATGATTTGAAAATATTCAAAAAATCTTAACTTTAATATCATGTAAATTTATCAGTAAATACAGTTTCTGATCCCTTCCTTTTAACAATGTAAGCTTAGCAAATAATTAATGATCCCCAGTATGTAGATTTTAAATAAATAACACATGATTGTTCTCATATAATATAAAGAATCAGAGCAAGTGAACTTATTATTTTCGAAGAATCCTTATAAAGAAGAGTAAAAGAATAATTTGGTGATTATGTAGTTAGAAGTATTAATATAAATGAAACTAATATTAGATCTTTTCTTGAAAGTTATCTTGAAAAAATACATTTGTAAATAAAAAATAAAATGGTTTTTAATTTTATTTTTTAGGGATATAAAATATTCTTTTTTACATAATATAGATGACATAATTAAAAAAATTAAAGAAGAATAAGATGTAAGCTTCCTTAAAATAGAAAGTGACGGTTTTTATGAAGATTTTTAAGGTTTGGCAATTATTTGTTTAGATAAATAATAGTATTATTAGGTTAGAAGAATAAATATTTTGCACATTAGTTGCATTGAAAAAAGTTTTTACAATAGTATTATTAACACTTTAGTTGATTATATATGGAAAAATGATACATGTGATGATATTCGTGTTAATTTATTTTATTAATAAGAAGAAAATAAATTATAGTTAAATAAATTTGTAAAAAATATCTTTGATTAAATAGGTTTTAAATGGAAATAATTAATAAATGATACAATAACGACAAAAAGAGCAACAATATTTGAATTAAAACGGCCTAAAAATATTGTCAAAAAACAAATAGTAAATTAATAAGAATGTATAGAACTGAAAAGTTTAATAATAATAAGTGAAAAAAGCGGAATACATTAAGAGATAACAGATTATTTTTAAAAATTTGATGTTTCTTATAACTTATTAAAATGTTTATATAATTTAGACGATAAAAAATAAATAGAAAAAATAATTGAAAAAAATAAAAATCTTTAAAATATTAAAGGAAATTTTGAAAATATAGTATAAAAAAATAATTTAAAAATAATAATATATATAAATATAAATATATATATATATATTTATATTTAAATACTTATATTTACATTATTTTTTTATATATTTTTTATTATAATTTTTATAACAAATTTATCATCCTATATTAAAATTATTTTATTTTTTTATTTTTTTAAAAAAAAAGAGTAATACTACAAATGATTTATATATTTAAAAGATATATGACAATGAATAGTTGAATTCTTTTATTTAGTAAGTTTTTCCATTTTAAAATTTGTTTTTGACAAATGAAGTAATTGTTTCTTTAAATTTATATTTATTTTTTAACTATTAAAGGGGAAAACTATCGCTTGTATTTAAAATAATTGTTTTAGGTGGAAAAACTTTACTCATGCTAAATATGAGAATATAAATTACATTAGAATTTAGAAAAATGAAGAATTAGGAATATAAATAATTAAATCTTTTGGATAAAATTAATAATTTTCACCTATTTACTATCTTTAAACAAATGATAATTAAATAGATTTCTTTATAATGGAAGCTAATTAAGATTATTTTAAAAAAGTTAAAGACTAAAATGAAAATCTTGTATCTTATGTCCAAAATTCAATATAATAATGTGATAGTAAATAAAGTACTGATTAAGAAATTTGGATTTAAAAAGTAGAATTTAAATAAAAGCTTTAAAATTATTCATAATGCCAAACCGAATAAATAAAATATGTATTTTTTTTTTAATTTATATTTCTTAAAAAAATATTTATTTTTTGAAGTGTGCAGTGTAATATTCATTTGGTTTGAATTATAATTCTTAGATCGAAGCTCATCTTTAAGTAGAATACCCACAAAAAAATAAAGCTATAATAATGAATCCTCCATTTATAATGGGTAAAAAATTATATTAATTAAAAAATATATATTAATATTAAAATATATTTTTTTTTTAAAAAAAAAAAGGACTTATAAATAAAAATTTAACTAATAATATAGATTTTCCATTAACATGTTGTTTAGTTTAAAATTGATCTATATATTTTTATTTTAAATATTTTTATATTTTGTTTGTTTGTTTAAATAAAATAATTATTATTGTCATTATTAGTATACTTTTTCAACTACTTTTACTTCTCCATTTGCCAAAGTGTAAGTTATTGTTTCAGTAACTGTTCTGACTCCATTAACAATATTAATTTTTTTCTCTGTACTTGTTTTAACAGTTCCTGGTGGTTTTTAATTGTTACCAGTAAACTAATCTTGCTATTAGTATTATTAATTATTATAAAATTATTATTTTTAATTATTGTAAAATTATTATTAAGGAGGATTATTCTATGTAGAAGAATAAGTTTAAAAATTAACATTTGTATTTACTTGAGGGTCTTTTTTGAAAAAATTATCGAAATCTTTTAATTAATCTTAAAATTACAAGCCTAAATCTCCTCTTTATTGAATATTATTAAAATTTTAAAATTATTAATATTAATATCCTTATTATTATTAAGATTTTTAATAATTATTTTAATCACTAAATTAAGGTTAATTATAATTAACATTTATTTCCTATTTTTATTATTAAAATTATGGTTATTACTAAAATTAATTTTATTTTTAAGATTAAGGTTATTAATACATATAATTTGGTTATTATTAGATAAACTATTACTAATTTGGTTATTATTAATAAAATTATTATTGAGAGGGCTTTTATTAAGTATTGATTCCTATATTACCAAAAGAATAAGGATTTTAAAATGACTAATTAGCATTAGTATTTGCTTTTTATTCACCTTTAGATGTATATTCCGATGCATAATCAAGTACACAACAGATATCATATTATGAGTGTTTAGCAGCTGCAATTCCAGTTACTTTATAATCTTTTCCGAAAATATTCATTCTATGTCCTCTGTTAGAAACTCCGTCATCAATAATTAACTAAACAATAATATCAACAGCAGTATTTCCTCCGAAGCAAATATTTTCTCCTATTTTACCCATCCAATCACCATATTTTTCCAATCTAGAAGTCATAGTTGATCCATCAGATCCATTATGCCCTGTAATTCCTTTAGGGCCTATATCATTTGCATGATCTTATGCCGCCTTGCTCATTTAATCATTTAATTTTAAGGGTTCTAGAGATTACTGACGATTTAAAAAATTCATACAATCACGAACTGCAGAAGGGCCTTCGTTTGTTTGTAAAGGAATTTAGCCAGGTAAATATAATGTATTACCTTTAAAAAAACCTAACATACGTTCTAAATTACCAATGTAACTTTTTGGATTTTAACGAATTTTGTTTTATTCATTGAATACTTAAAGAGCAAGCTAATCCATTTTTTTATTTTAATTATTTTTTTTTTGTTTGATTATTAATTAATTATTTTTGGAATTTTATTTTAAATAAAAATTGTTTTGATTCATTCATTTTGTTAAAAATTAAATGATTTGTAAATTGATTTTAAGAATTTTTAATAAATTAAATGAATTATTTTATGAAATTTTTTAATTTTAAATTTAATTATTTTGGTTATATATTTGTTAAATAAATAAAAAAATATTTAATATATTATATATAACTTTATTAAAAATAATAATTAAATATTAGTTATTAAAATATCTTTAAGTAAATTATATAAAAGTTCATTTAATTAATTTTCGAAATATATATATATATAATTTACAGATTTAGAATAAATATAAATTAATTTTTTTTATTTTAATTTAAAAAAAATTGATAAATAAATTATTTTATTAATAGTAAATTATTTTTTACTTTTAATCAATTTGGTAAATTAATTATACACTCAACCTATAAATATCTTTTTTATTTTTTAATATAAATAATTTATAAAACAATCTATAAATATAGCAAATTATTTATTATTTTAATTTAAAAAAATAAATAATAATTAATACAATTTTAAAAATATATATTTAAATTTATCTTTAAATATAAATATCTAAAATATAATTCAAACAAATCAATGACTATCATGATGTTTAGGTTTCATATCGTCATCATAGTCTTAAGGTAAACCATGATAAATATGTGGGTCATCATGTCCTTAAAATTACACATGCCTAACTCTTTCAGCTTCATAGTTATCTTTATGATAAATAGTGATATAGTTTTTCCAAGTAGCAGGTTCAGTTTTCCCAAGTTTTGATACAAAAGCTCTCAAAGTATCATTAACAAGTTGTGTTTCCATATATTAATTAATATCAAAATCTCCAATAGGGTTAATAGGTTACAATTCATCATTAGTATTTGTAGCGCTTTTCCAGTAATTTTCGATTCCGGGCATATGCCATTAATTTACTACAGCAAAAATTTTCTTTCCGGGCATATTTCTATATAAAGTGTAAAATATATCTTCATCTTTTTAATCTATGAGTATTTTCTTTTAATAAGGTGCTAACTTTTCAAAATATTTCACAAACCAATTTAATCTATATCTATCTAAACTTTCAGCAAAAGTTTCTCCTCCTTATACATCTAAAACATTATAATTATCATAATGTTCTCTTTTCCAAAAAGAATTATGTAAACATGTGAAACCGTAATACAATTATGATAAAGGATCCATTCTAGGTTCATTCTTTAAGGCTTAGATTGATACATCATCTATTGCTAATCCTCCTAAAGTTACTGGAATTTATAATTTTTGCGCCTCTTCAATTGCAAATTTCATTTCTAACCCAGGTACAAATGGGTGGAAATCATTTGGAGTTGCTTTTTTTATTTTTTTAAAAAATAATTAAAATAAATATACCTTTAAACCAATTTATTACAAGCAACCATGAATAAAATTTGGACTTAAATATGATGTTTCTTATTGAATTATCTAAATTCCAATTAAAAGCTTTTTTAAATGAGGCATTATATAAATTTAGCTCTTATTAGCATTTTACATTTTAGACATTCTTAGCCATATTCCACCATTCTTTATTAGTTTGCACAAATAGTGAATCTGGCTTTTCTTGAGCAATTAATTCTTTAGTTCTATAAGACAAAAATGTTGAAGAGTTAGTAGTTCCTAATAAATATAGGGTTCTATCATTTTTAGGATCTTAAAGTACTGTAAGGGTATTCTTTTAGGGGTTAAATCTCTTTTTTTATATACTTTTTTTTAATAAAAAGTAAAAATACCTTGATCCTACTCTTTCATATACACTTGATTCTATGTTTGGATTACGAACAAATCTATGTACTGCGCGTGCACTTATCATTTTTTTTTTTTTTATATATATATATTCTTTAAATATAATATGTATTTATTTTATATGTAAATAGTATTTTTTTTTTTGTCAATTATATTATTTATTTATTAAAATAGTAACATATTTTTTTTCCTTTTATTTTATATATATATCAAATTATATTTATTTAAATAAATATAAATTATAAAAATTTTCTTTAAATATATTATTTAGATTTTAAGATAACTCTATTTTCTAAACTTTAATAAAAACAAAAACAAATTTTTATAAAATAACTTCTTAATTAATTATTTAATTCAATTTTAATTTTTTTTTAATTATATTATTATATTTTATTATTCTTGTCTATTTAATTGAGTTTATTTGGCTTATATAAATTATTCATCTGTAAAAAATAAAATAACAAAAAAAAAATATTATTACTTAAATCAAATAAGTAATTATTATTTTAAAATTCTGAATAAACGCTCATATCTTCATCCTATTTATTTTATTTATATTGAATTGGGGAAAACTCATTATTAAATTAGGATTTTCCACTTTCTAGTTTATAAGCTGACTCTTTATTTCTCTAATATAATAATATAAAATATTTTTGAAAAATTAAAATATTATACATTATTATTAAAATTCATATTTAAAATATTTTTTTTGTTTTCTTATTATGAATAACTCTAATTAAATGATAAATAAATATAAATAAAAATGTAAAAAAATAAAGACATTTTAAATATCAAAAAGACTAATCGTTCCTAATTTTTTACCTTACTTAGTATTATCTAATTTTTCATTATTTTTTTAAGACAAACAAATAGAATTTTTTAATGATGTTTTTTCATGAAAAATCTTATTTTAATATTAATTTATTAATTAATAGTTATTTTAAATAGTCATATTCATATTATTATTTTTAGTTTTATTATTATTATTATTATTATTATTATTATTATTATTATTATTATTATTATTATTATTATTTTTATTTTTAATATTTTAATTATTATTATTTTTTTTATTAATTTTATTATTATAATTATTTAATATTACAGGTGAATTCATTTTTTGTGTTTTCTATTACTCTTCTTACTATTTTTATTATTTTTTTCTTAATTCTATTTATTTATCAATTGTTTTAATTCTATCTAATATTTCATTCCTTTTTTAATTCGTTAATTAATAAATTGATAAAGTAGATGCATCTTAAATTTCATTTGAAGCTTTACTTGTTTTTAGGTAAGCTTCACTTTATACATTTTAATTTATTATTTATTTATTGTTCTAAAAAAAATTATCTTTAGTTTTTATATTTGATTTCTATTATTAAAAGCTATTTTTTGATTTTTACGATTCAAAAGAATCATTATTTACTCTTTTAAAAATTTATTTATTTTTTATATAAATTTGTTGTTATTTTACGATTGTTTTTATACTGCATTAATGGCTTTTATTGGGCTAGTTTATTAATCTTTAAATTATTTTTTTATTCAGGAATTTATATATTTTCTTCTGCTTGAATTTCTGCATCTTTTTTATTATTATTTGTCTATTCAAACCTTTTTTATTATTATTTTTTTATTTTTACTTTTATTATATTTTACTTTTATATTTAAGGTTCTTCTACATTAATTATATCTTTTATATTATTTTTTATTTCTTAATTATTTCTATAAGTATAAACTTAATTTTCTATACAATTATTTAATACAACATCCAAACTATTATTATTGCTTTAAGCAGCTTTTTATGTAAAATATTGAATATTCGCATTATTTCTTATAATTTGTATTGGCATTTTAGGAAATAATTAATGTAAATTTCTTTAAACATTTATACTATTGTATTTTTTTAAACTTACAGAAGGTATTAAAGGAGATATATAAACTGCTGCTCTTTATGTATGAGGAACAGATAAATTTTTATTATTTAAAAACATAATATTTTTTTTTTTTTTTTAAATTTTTAAATAAAAATAATTTTAAATTTTTAGATAAATATCAATTAAATTCTTTTAAATATTGCATAAAAATTATTTTCTTTTAACTTTTAAGGAATAAATAAAGGTCAATAAAACAAAAAGCTATCCAAAATTAATATTTTTATATAAAAAGTTAACTAAACTTCATTATATTTTTAAAAATTAACAAAAAAATATATTATTACTTTAAAATAACCTTTAAAAAATTTAAAACTATTTTTAAATAAAAAGAGAAAATAGTTCTTTTTATATTTAAATAATAAAGAATTTATTGCATTTATAAATTATATCTTTAAAAAATTCAAAAAAAGAAAATTCTCAACCAAAAAAAAAAAATTCATAAAAATATGTTTTCAGTCAAAAAATTTTATTTTTTTATTATTATATAAAAAATGAAATTAATTTAATTGAAAAGCTAAAAATATAATTGACTAAAAAAAATTCTACCAAATATAAGTATATCAAATTTTTTTTTAAAATACTTTAAAAATTTCATTAAATATTTTAAAATTTTCAATAAAATCGTCATAGGTTTTAAAAATGTAGTATATATTCATCAAAAATAAACTAAAAATTAATAAAACAAAAATATATAAATTGAAATGAGTATTTTTTCTAAAAAAAATGTTTTTTATGAATTCAAAATTTAAATGTGTAAATATATGATTCCTAAATTCTAAAATAATGTTTATACTGAAAAAAATGATTGAAAATTTCAAACTAAATTCGATATAATGTCTAATGAAATAACTTAAAAATGCTTTTTTCGTAAATAAATTTATAAATGATCTTTCTATAATTAATCTTGTCTAATTCTCAATTTCAATACTATTAATAGGCCAAAAAACAAATTGAGATTTTTTCACATTCAAGAATAATTGTATTTAGAATTTTTATTTGGGAATTACTATAAAAAATTAAGATATTTGATTTGAAAAATAAATTTTTTAAAGTAAAACGAGGGAAATATAAAGTATAATAGAAGTTTATTTAATTAGTTTATTTTATAAAATCAAACCGAATAATCTTAGTATTCTTAAATCAAATAAATAAAGGAATAAATAATTTTTATTTATAGAATTGGAAGAAAAAAAAGGTAAATTTAACAGAAAAAGTATACAAGAAAGTTATTTTGGAAAATAAAATAATTTGAAATATAAAAAAGTAATTAAAATTCAAAATATTTATTAATATCTTGTGTAAAAAAAGTAAAATAAAAAATATATTCTTAAATTTATTGAATATTTAATTATATAAATAAATATTTATATATAGACTTTTCATTCATTTATATCATAATCATCTAATTAATCTTTATATTCTAATATTTTTTATTTAATTTTTGAATTATCCATCCATTTTATATGATCTTCCATTGCCCTACAAACTAAAAAAGCAGAATCAGTTATTTTTTCAGGGCCAATTCTAACATCTTTTTAAAAAATAAAATAAAATCAAATAAATATAATAATTTGTTTTATATATTTACGTCCTTATTCAATATAAGTAACTGCTTCTTTAATTGTTTAAGCAAATTTCAAAATTTACATAACAACAGGAATCCTTCGTCTTTTTTTAAAAAAAATATTAAGCATTTTATTTTATGTTTTTACCTACAAAAAGCACTAACAGTGATTTTTTCAGCTGCAAGAATATTTTCTTTTTAATTAATTATACCAAGATTATATCTATTTTTTAATTATAATGTTTTTTTATTATTATTTAATAAAAAAAATATATACAATTTATCTAATAATTATTCAGTAATTTTAATTCTAAATTAATCATTTTATTCTAATAGTTTTAATTTTGAAATTAATGAAGTAATCAACCCACATATTTTATTATATCTTTTTATTGATAGTTTATAAATTTAAAATTTTTAGGAACCTTTCATAATCTTCTCTCTATTATATATGATATCTTTTTAAAATGGAAACCTCCTTATGGTTTCCTTCACCTTTCCAATTTTTATAATAATCGTGTTTTTTAAGTAATTTTTATTCATGAAATTTTAATTTTCTCATTTTTTTTTAATTTTAACCTTTTATTATTTATTTAATTTAATTTTTTTTTTTTAAATATAATCATTTTTAAACAGGAAAATTATAATTTTTTAATTATTTTTAAAAATTATTAAGTAATTATAAGTTAGGATTTTAATTTTCATTCCTTTTTAAAAAAAAATTTTTGTTTTCATTTAGTTCACAGTAATTTTTCCAGGCAAAAAATACTTTCATTTATAAAAAGTTCAATTTCTTAGAATTTTTTAATCCTAAAAATACTTTCATTTTTATGTTTCTTTACCTAAATTCATCCACTAGTTCTTCAATATCTAAATCGATATTCTCTACATGCTAAGAAATTCTGTTTATAGATAAAATTTCGCTCTTTCTTCCTTAAAAATCATTTGAAATATCTGTTTCTAATACTTAAAAAGTATTTTTTTTCTGAATTTCTATCATTATTTCTTCACTTAATTTTTTTGCATTTTAAATGACTTCCAATGTTCTTTTTTTTTCTAATTTTTTTTCATTAAATTCCTTTATCTGAGGAAAAATATTTCTAATTTCTTCATCTGCAATTTTTAATGGATTACCTTTTATGTTTAAAATTTCTAATAAGTACTTATTTGCTATTTTTTTAAGTTCAAATGGCTCTTTTATGTAATTATATTTTATATGAAGTTCTTTTAATTAATTAAATTGTTGAATACCATTTAAAGATGTTAAATTATTATGATTTAAATATATTTTTTGGACATTCTAAAGTGTGTAGGGAAGGTTGTCTATAATTTTTATGCCTAAATAGTTTAAGTTAATTTCTTTTTTTCAATAATTTCATTATCATTTATATAAAAAGTTAACATATTTAATTTTTTTACAAAATAATTTTTTAATTTTTTTTAAATATTAAAACTTACATAAATAATTGTTTATAGATATTTATTTGATGAATTTGTAAATTAAGTTTAAATAAATTTATTAAGATTATTATATTACTTATTATATTTATCATCCCGAATATTAATTCA